TTAAATGCATTTGTCACTCTTTTAAATTACTGAACGCTCTGTGAAACCATGGTTATTATTGGTAACTAAAAGCATAAAAAACATTTTAATTTTTTTTTTTTTCAAAACATTAATTTCTAAAAACATTACTGACATCATTTTTCTGTACCAAACATTTTTTTATTGAGAGAACATTAATTTCTAGGAAAACATTATTGATGTAATTTTGTGCTAAAACATTTATAAATTTCTTGAAAAACATTAATGACATAATTTTTGTGCCAAAGATTTATTTAGTTATTTATAAACAAACAAACAAAAACAGAAAGTGGAGTTTTTCATTTGCATGCAATAATGATCAACATTATTGTGTCAGCAGAGCTCATCAAAATAATGTTTGCAACTTAAAAGTGATGCAATAGAAGAACATTTTTGGTTCTTCAAAAACCATTCAGTTTTGAAAGAACATTTGAATGATCTGAAGAACCTTCTTTCACTATATAGGACCTTTTGTTCAATGGAAAGATTGAGTGGATGTTAAAGGCTTTTCATGGAACCATTAATGTGCATGAAGAACTTTTATTTTTAAGAGTGTAGAGTGTCGTTTCAGTTGTCTTAGAAGGTAGTTGCCTATGTAGGCAGCGAAGCAGCTCTCTAGGGTTGGTTCTGTGAGGAGTTTGGATCTCAATCGTGTGTTTAGGAGCTTGTGGTTGTGATGATTTTAATGTTGATGTTGCTCAGTGACAGCGGCTGCCAACGACCAGCAGCGCTCTCATACTATCATCTTCAATAGCAGAGACGCCCTCGTTATGTTTCATGATTTCAGGGGGTTATGAAAACATCTGCTGCGACAGTTCTTCCATCCCATCTGACTCACTATTGCTGAATCAACTGGAGGAGCTGACGTTGATTCCATTGCATTATTTGGATTGTATTGTTTGGTGAACACAAGCATGAGTACTAGATATAAACCGCTTTCTCACCAACTAAATGAACTAAACTCAGGTCAAAGCCTCAAGCTGTAGTATGAAATCATCCTATTAGTGACATGAACAGTGATATTTATTCACATCTATCTATCTATCTATCTATCTGTGTCTGTCTGTCTGTCTGTCT